CACGTTTTATTTTAAGATGGTGACCACGTGACAATGAGTTAAAAAATTTTGGTTGATATATATTATTAACTATATAAAATCGATGTATTAGTTTAAAAATTTGTATCAGATCGTATCGTAGGCGCCGAAACTCGAGTAATGGTAGATTTAGTCTTTTAAGTCTTTCGTAGTATTGAAGATTTCTCAAGCTTCAAGCCCATTTTGTTGCTTTACGTTTAACAGATTCAACCAAAGCTAGGTTTGTTTTTAAATACGGGGCCCAGACACTGCATATTCAAGGTGTGGCCTTATAAACACTTTTTTTTATCAACGATGGTGAATGTCCTTTTTAGCATACCTAGAATTTTAGAAGGTTTTTTAGCAAAAGAAATTTTTTAAAAAATGATAAAAGTGTTAAAGGAAACTGTATCTTTATTTTTAACTGTTAAAAAATTTAACCTAACTTGACTTAAGTAAAGCTTTAAAAAATGTATGTTTAAAAAAAATGTAAAAGATGAAACCCAAGCTTTTAACTAATAAAAATAAAAAAGCTGTACCAAAAATTAAAAATAAATTTTTTAAAGACCTTTTAAATTTATAATTTGTTATTTTCAGTTGCAACTTAATTGAATTTTAAATCTAACTAAACCAAAAATATGATAATTAGTTTGTTTTACAAAATCAAAAAAATATATATTTTTAAAACATTATAGTAAATTAAATTAAAACTGCTGCATCATTTCAATAAACCATTACATAATAAAATCGTCAAGGTAAAAAATTAGGTATATAAAAAAAGTAAAAGAGCTAAAATACTTGTATTTAACTTTATAAAAAAAAACGGAAATAATGCATGAGACCATCAGAACGGATATTTGCATAAACATATCAGAACGGAGACTTGTATAAGATTGTCAGAACGGAGGTTTGTATTAGGCCATCAAAACGGAGACTGGCAAAAGAGGTCTTGTCATTGAAAACCACTCGTAAATACATACATGATATACATAAGAAGAAGCTCCAACATTTGAAGTATTTAGTTTTCCAAAATTAGTTCGAAAAATGGTGTCGGTATTAAGTTATCATTATTTAAATTATATATACTTTTAGTTTTAAATGAATATAAATTATAAAAATAAACTAGGGAGAAGTTATTTTTGCATTTGTACATATAACAATATTAAAAAACTGAACTGATATATATTAAGAAATTTTATTTCAAATAAAAGGGGCTTGGCACAAGCAACTTTGTTTTTGAAATTGATAATTTGAGTCACATACTTTTACTTGTAATAAAGATGCTTGAAGCGATCTTAAAAGGGGGAAAAAGGTGGGTGACATCTGTTATTTACCGAGTATCAAATAAGCCCTCGTTATTTGACATTAGCCAACAGCCGTCTAAAGATTTCAAACTTACCGACTACAGGTGCAAATTTGCTGAATAATGTTTAAGTAAGATTTTCAGGTTTTCATAGTTAGAGTCGTTATGCACCCCTTAAGCCCCCCCCCCCTCCTCCTCCACCTAAAGACAGCTCTGCTTTAGATACCTTAAGCAACTTATTAAACATCTGGCCTTTCTAACTAAAGTTTTCATTGAATTAGATACCCTAAAATTTTCAATAAAAAATGAAGATCTATTGCAAGGCAGTAGATTTATTTTACAAGCTAGATAAATAACGATCCATTTTTTCAACACTTAGTAAAAACTTGTTTATTGCTAGGCAATCAGAAATATACAAAAAATTGATGTTCATATTTTGAAATAGTGTTGTAACGCTATAAGATAAAGAGGTTAGTGTCATCAGTAAACATAACTATCATTATAGTTAAAGCTTTATAAAGAATATTAATGCAAATAAGAAATGGGAAACTAAACCGGTTATATTTAACAAATTAGATGGGTCATTCAGGTTAGATGGGTGAGTATTATAACCAATTTCAAGCAAATTATCAATAAGAAAAGCAGTTGCACAGAATTCTATAATAAAATCATAAAAGGTTTGTTTGAATAATGCAAAATAATGCGAACGATGTTATATGATAAAAGGTTGACAAAACTTTAATCCAAAATACATTAAAGAGAAGTAAAAAGATAAGTATTTTTTTTTATTTAAATAATTATACAAAACAATAAGTTTTTAATACTTTACTAAAAACATTTTTATTATATATTTTTTTTATATCTAATATATGTTTAGGGAAACCAGATTGGTGAAATAAGATACAATGATGGAATGTAAGATAAAAAAATTGATGATTTACTATACATTTCTCAATATTTTTTCAACTATTAATCTGCTGTAAAAACTTCAGATCACGATTTTACAACATAAGGAAATCTTTATAAAGATTAATTTGTGAACCTTTATTAATTTATCAAACACTCTAATTTTGGGCTCATTTTTGCAAATACATCTCATCCGAATAAAGTATGCAATTACTTGTTGTTATTTATTATTATTTATATAAAAACTTTGAGTTTTTCTTAACAAACTATAGTTTAAAGTTCATAGTTTATAGTGTAAAGCTGTTGAACTATCTCTTATAAAAAAAAAATAATTATATCGGTTGTTCAAGCAAAAGATTTTCTTTAGAAAAACAAAGAGTTGACTTTTGTGAACCTTTAAAATAACCTGTTTGACAGTTTGTAACATTACCTTTTTTTTACTAAAACGACTATGAAAACAACTTTTATTTCAAAATATTAGGTTTCCTTACATTTATTATTTGAATTATCCATATTAAATAAATTGAATAAAAATGCAATTTGAATATATGCAGTAAACATAACAGATTGTCTGTATATTTATTTCATTCTACTACTTTTTTAATTGCCAGGCTATCATCTCGAATAAACTTTGAAATCTATATTATATTACTATTAAATTATACAAAAATTTTCGATAAAATAATTGTTGCAAGCACTTTTAATTTTAATTTTAATTTTAATGCAAGTATTATCATCTTTATCCAACGTTAAAAAAAATCAATCACTTCCATCCAAATAAAACTTTTAGAAATCAATCACTTCCATCCAAATAAAACTTTTAGCATAAGACTATTTATCCTTATATTATGGCATAAGAGCAAAATATAAGGATAGAACTTATTTTTTGATGTTAGCAGAGAAAGTGTCAAATTTAGTTTAACATTTTGTAGTTTTATATTAATGAAAATGACCTTAATGTTTATCATAATAGAAAGCTAAAGAAAGTCTACTGGTTACTGGTTAATCGTTTTTTATTGCTGTTAATTAAAATCATTGGCAAAATGTTTTCTTGGCTAAATCATTTTGTAGAAAAAGAAAAAACTCATAGAAAAACTTTTATCGACATGAGTAACCGACTGTCGCCGATACTTAGTGATAAATTTAAACCAGTTGTTTCTCTTGATTCAAGCTTATCTGAAGCTATTAGTTTAGAATATGTCCAAAAACCTGGCTGGTACTTGACTTGTAAAAATCGGGTTTGTTATATTGAAAAAAAGAAAAACACAAGAAATTACGGTGAGATGTGTTTTCTTATTCTAAAGAATCTTTTTACACATAAAATATAGTGTAAAACTGAAGAATGTTTTAATTCTTTAGTTTTGCCTTTTTTTTTTTCGCCAAATTTTTATATTTTTTTCAGATAAGCAATATTTAAATGAACTTTTATCGTAAAATATATATTAGTATAAATAAAATATAGCATAAATTATCATATATATTCAATGATTATTGCAGATATGTTAAGGCTCAGGTTTGGGGTCGGGATCACTTTAAAAATAATTAAGTAAAAAGTAAAAGTACTGGCTCTAAAAGTAACAAAGTAAATGTAAGCACAGGTGCTCCTTAAATAAAACTCTTAAGTAAAAAGAAAAAATTACAGTATATTTGGAGTGCATTTTAGTTATAAAGCAAAAAGTACTTTTGCATTTTGCTAAAGTGAATACATCCAAAATTAAATCACACAAAAAATACGTTTTTAAATTATCTTTAAATAAAATTTTACATATAATCAATCCATAAAGGTAATCACGTTTATTGTAACAGAACACGATTTAGTGATACGTAATAGAAGCTGCTGTTTAATATGCTCATCTGTCATTCTAGTGCGGTTTAAGATGAAAACTTGTCCTGTTGCACTAAATTAACGTTCTTAGGATGTAGTTGCTGGCAAAGCAGTGTTTAGTTCAAGAAAGACATTTTTCAATGGAGATTCGTGAGGTTTCTAAAGGGATAAACTAGTGCAACTAACTTAATAATCTTACTAGCAGAAGTATTAATATCATTTGATTATATAAATTAAAAGATACATTCTGCAATAAATGCTTCTTCAGCTCATCAAAACTGTAGTAATAGTTCCACTTTACACAGTAAATAAAATACCCGTTATATTTTTAAAAAACATAACGGGAGTTTTCCTCGCACATAACGGGTAATTGCCGTTATGTTTAATACTTAACATGTATGAAAATAACATAACGGTTTTAGCGTTATGTTTAGTCAAAGCAAAATTGCCTTAAACATAACGGTTACATAACGCTAATTTACCGTTATGTGCGAGGAAAACTCCCGTTATATAACGGGTAATTACCCGTTATGTTACCATTATGTTGAAAACCTAACATAACGGGTAATTACCCGTTATGTTACCGTTATGTAAAATGAAAATTATCTTTTTAAAGAAACGCATAATTCTGCATGACTATTCGCACAAAGTACTTAACAAAAAAACATTTTTTTGTCAATAAAAGTTGTAATAAGAAAATAAAAATTATACATAAAATATATTTCATATCATAATATATTTATATTATACTATTTATAATAATCATGAAAATTATTTACAAAATAATTGAATAAATTATTTACAAAATAATTGAATAAATTATTTACAAAATAATTGAATAAATTATTTACAAAATAATTGAATAAAATAACTTATTAAAATTTATAAATTCAAAAGTAATTTGCATTGCTTTGAAAAGATTGCAGAAGAAAAATGCATTTTTTAGATAATAAAGCCAATTGCAAAAAACAAGAATATGTTAAACCTAGCAAATAGTAAACAAATGTACTGATCAAGTGTTGAACATTCATTTTGATACCTCTTCAACTCCTTACATCATATTCTGTTTTATTAAAGATAACTTGTGGACCATATAAACTTTGGCATAAGTATTCATGTAGTGAATCACACTAAAATTTTATAAATAAAAAATAATTATCACAATCATAAAATAAAAAATTATTATTAATACATTAAATGGAAAAAAAGAAAAAAGAATGTGAACCATTGCAATACAAAATATGCTTACCATTAGTTAAAATGTCAGCAATATTACAAGCAATAACAATTTTCTTTCCCCAAGAAATTTGACAACAACAGCCTTTATTATTTTCAACTATTAACTATTAAAGAATTAAGTAAAGCAGTTATTATTAGTTTATACTACTTTAATTTTACAAATAGTATATTTAACATTTTTTAATACTTGCGATACAAAATTAATGTTAAAAACAGTAATAATAAACAGACAGGTCAGACGGTAAGAGGTAAACACCATTATTACACAAGTATTAAACAACATTATTAAACAACATTATTTGGCACAATTTAATTAGTTTAATAATACTACACTAATTTATATTATATTACTAGAAAAAATTTATTATAAAAACATCATATAATATATTACAATAATCATACTATTATAGTATAAAGTTTATATATTATAAGCATATAATAGGGTCATTCCATATAAGATGAGCTAAGCCTTCTCGCGTGACAATGTTTTATTTTCTTGAAATGTATACCTCCTGTAGGTTTTATGGACCAAAAATATTTCTTCAGAATTTCAACTTAACAACAAATAATTTTTTATTTCAAAATAATTTCAAATATTAAAGACTATTTCAGGGAACTTATTGGTCAATTTACGGACCGAAAATTGGCACAATATACAGTGAATTAAAAATTTGAAATTTTTAGGTATGCATCTTCAATACAAGAAGTATAAATGCAGCATAAACAAATTTAATGTTTTTTCCATTTTTCCGATTTCCAAATAATTCCTCAAACTAACCTTGAACATTTTTATGATAATAAAAGTTTAATTAAACAAAAAAAATTCATGCAGTTTAATACCTTAATATATTTATATTAAATCATTTTTCATAACCAAGAAAATAATTAAACAAATTAACTTTGGTAAAAATTAACATTAATAAAGTCAAAAGTACTTTACATTGCTATGAAAAGACTGCAGAACTAAAATGAATTTTTTAAATAATAAAACTTATTGCCCAAATCCGCAAATATCTTGAAAACATCCCAGAAGCTGCCCAAAACAAGGATACGTTAAATCTAACAAATAAACAGCCATCAAAACGACATTATATATATTATAATTATATATATATATATATATATATATATATATATATATATATATATATATATATATATATTATACATATGATATATATATATATATATATATATATATATATATATATATTTTAATATATATATACATATATATATATATATTAACAATAGATGCCATGACATTTATTGTGAGCAATCAAAATATACCAATCAGTTATGGGCTTCAGAACAAAATATACAATAAATATATATTAATTAACAACCAAAATGTTGTTTTATAGCTAAGTTACTTAGTAAGTGGTAAATACCGTACGTAAATAAATAAGTAAATCAAAATAGTAGGGACATTATAAAAAAAAAATCTAATTGCAAAAATCCTTTAGACTCGCGCCATTTTGTAAACATAACGCTTTACAAATATCATACAAATAGTTTTGGGCATAAAGCTTTAAACTTAACATAACGCTAACATAACGGTGAACATAACGCCAAAATTTTCAATTACCGTTATGTAACCGTTATTTTAGCGTTATGTTTTTTGCTGTGTAGCTAGTCAAAACAGTGACAAATTATACTTGTCACAAACGCTATTCTTCACAATAATTTCTTTATCAGTTATTAGCTTATTCGTGCGTTCAACAGACATGTACATTGGGTTCCAAACCCTCTGATTTATAACAATAAGCTTAAATGATTTATTAACAACTTCTCCAGATCTATTACTTCATAACTGCTTGTTTAATAACGTTTGGTATTTTGCACGCGTTGTTCGGCTAAACTTTTAGAAAGCTGCATCATAGTCAGCAATTGCGACATCATGAATAGCTAATAAACTCATTAAATCATATCACAACCATTATCACACACTAAATTTCTTAACCTTCATTAACAGTTTTAGGTTTTTAAGATGCATTTGCTGCATCAGGGCTACCTACTTATTACTTTTTATACAGGTTAAAAGCATTGAAAAAGTTTGATCCATTCTTAGTTGTATTCTTTGTGGTTTTATCTTGAATGTCAAATTCTATGTGGATCTATTCTAAGATAGCTTCTAGTACGTTATATGTCTGAGATCCTTTCAAGAGTTGACATGCCAGCTTATCTTCTCTTTATAGTTGACTCTAAAGTATAGCGTACCGTAACACTAATGTATGACCAATAATGTGTTGACTTACAAAAATTTTTAGTTGTAACAAAACGCTGTTTCTGTAACAGGCTGGTAGGTTTCTGACGGATAATTTGATTACCAATTCGTATCATAGCTGTTTGATAAATGATTGATTTGGTACCGGAACATTTATCATTTTTCTGAAATCTATCTTCTCAGTAATGGTTAATGGTTGCAGGTTGCTTATTAAGTAATTAACAACATATTTTGCTTATATTGTGCTTCAGACTTCTCGCGGACGTCCAGACGTCCAAAGGACGTCCCCCGGACAACGCGTGCTCACTGGGGTAGCAAAATTAAATGTACTTTGTTACCTCCGAACTCTGATAACATTATTTCATAAATACTTTAACATTATTTTTAACCCACTAGTACAATAATATTAATAAATTACTTTTTAAATAATTTATAAAATAGTATTCAATATAACAATTTTTATTAGTTTGATTTTTATAAACGTAACCAGATATGTTTGATTTTTATAAACGTAACCAGATATACTCCGGACCATCTCACAATTGGTCACGGTGTTGTTAGAAAACAGAAACAGCACAAGATCGGAACCGTGACAGTCGATAGAGGTTCTTGGCGTAGTCGCTTTTTCAGTGTCTCCTTCTACGTCCGGAAATTTCAAAGCGATCTGTCCACTCCGGACGTTAAATGGAGATAAACCCTCAAGTGGGCGCTGCTCAGTTTTGGCTGAGTGGCAACTAAACCCTTAAATGGGCCATACTAAAAACCCTTAAATGGGCCATAATGCGGAGTTTCGGCTCCCTAATAGCACCGGCCTTCTAGTAAGACCCTGTGTAAGTCTGGTTTCAGCAGCAGGTGTCCCTAGTTGGTTGGCAAAAAAAAAAAAAAAAAAAAACAGATATGTTTATTATCTAAAGAAGAAAATCAAATAGATTTTTTGGATTAGCTCCAAAAAATCTATTTGATTTAAATATTTTATTTTTTTTTATTTTTTTATATGCCGTTTGAAAAAATGACAATTTTTGTATTTTTAAAATGTTTTTATTGCCAAGCCTCTAGTTATTCACAAGTCATTAAACAATTTTTTTATTTTTTTATTTTTTAAAGGATTTTTTAGTTTAACTGTGATTTTAGAACGTCAAAGTTCATTTTATCCTCTCCATAATTTATGGTTTGACGGGTTCACAGCGTTTGAATCAACAATAAAAGCAGGCTTCTATTTAAGACTGAGTAAATTTAATAAGTTTTTCTTGGACAAGTATGATTGTAGCGAAACCTTTAAACAAGAAGCAAGCTTTTGTGTACAAAAGTATTCAGTGGTTCTTGAAGGTAAGATTTTATAAGTGTTAGAAATAATTTAAACTCATTTCTTTTAAATTTAAACTTTCATATTTATCTAATAACTTTTAAAATTAAACCATAAGTAGAATAGCTAATTTAAAGCGAAGGTTTAAAGTAGCTAATGGTTCAAACTTTTTATTAGAAGGGTTAACTTTTCGTACAAAGTTCGCAATTAGAACAAGTAAATCTAGTCACTAGTGGAACACATTTAGCCGTAAACGCATGAGAAAAGAAGTGATTGATTATATTAGAAACTGATTATGTTAGAAAAAGTGTTAGTGTACAAGTTATACTATCTTGAACAGATGTTCAGTGTTATAACAGGTAATTAAGAAAAGAAAATGGAACAGTATATCCGTCATACTACTAAATAAATTTATATTTATTTTTTATACTTATTTTATTTTAGAACCCAGCTAAAAATATGACAAAATTACGTATATTTTGTGATTATTGAAATTCGCAGCCATAGCAAAAATTAAGGCAATATGATGCGGTTTCTTGTTACATATTTAGTTTACACAGTTTAATAGAGTTGTTCGTTTTATGTTTTTATTTTACATTTAGTTTATATGGTTTACTGCTTTATATAAAGATCGCAACTAAAACAAGTAAGTCTAGTCGCTGGTGGTCAAAAATATTCGATTTGTACTAAGTTTATGTTGAATCACAATTTATTCCGTTTAAGATTATTTGTTTATATCTAGTTCACATATAACTAAACTTAAAACAGTTTTAAACCTAGTTTATTTACAGTTAAATTTATTCCATTTTTGTGGAGGTATACGCAATATGCTCTATTTGCATAAAATTATTATTTATACCGTTTTAGTAGAGTTATTCGTTTTAAAAATGTATACCCTATTAGTGAAATTCGTATTATACTTAGTTAATATTCAATTATAAGTTATTCTGTTTCTTGGACTCATTCATATTATGCTTAGTTTATACTTAGTTTATATAAAATTATGATGTATACTGTTTTAGTGGAGTTTTTCATTTTTTTAAATGTATATGTAAAGCGCTCTAATCACTGCGGCCGTGGCGCAGTGGTTAGAGCGCTTGCTTTAGAAGCAAGAGATCCAGGTTTAAAACGAACTCTGGACATATTTTCACGTCTCGGTAAGGAACGAGGCGTGAACTTCCCAGTTAAATACACTTCCGCGGTGCTCTGTGACCGGTTAGGTCTTCTTGGGGCACCTGAATAACAAAAAAAGTGTATAGCATTTTAGTGAAGTTACTTGTATTATGGTTGGTTTATGTTTAATTCTGATTAATATCCAAATACACTATGGTTGGAGATATTTGTTTTATGCTTAGTTTATATTTAAGGCGCGTACCCACTTTTTTTGTAAAGTACTTTTTTTTTTTTAGAGAAAATTCTAGAAATAGAGGACTTTTTTTTAGAAATAAACGATTGTGCCCCTCCACTTCGGAACCAGTGTCGTTGTCCGTGAAAGAAAGAAAATGTTCTTTATTGCAATGTTTGTTTATGCTGCAACAACCGATTAGTTGTCTAAACTGATTACTTCATGCTTTTCAATAAAACTATATCCTGTTGCCTGTTAGGCTAAAAAAACTCTTAGTGTGCATATCCAATAAAGTATACTTAGATAATAAAAAGTGCATGTATACAATTAGCCTGACATGTTGTTAAGTATTACGCCATATATTTTACAACCCAACAAACATATTTAAGTAGACCTATGGTCAGCGCTAAAAGTCCTAGAACAAATCAAAATAATGAAACAGTTCATTAGTTACTGAGCGAACCAATGGTATCACTAACTTTAAGCAGCCAGTTATTGGTTCTTTAGTAACACATGCCACGAGGAATTTGCTAGTTGACTTTTAGTGTTCAAAGGTCAATACACATTTTGTTTGTCTGGCTATTTTTAGTATTTATTAAACTAAATTTTAACAAGATAGAAATTGTTCAGTTGAGAAATTATTGAGGATTTCAGTCCTTAAAAAAGTTTGTTAACTAGTTTTGAAAAGTAAATATTAAGACTCGACTTCCACTATAGCGGAACACCTATAGGCGTTCATCCAATATTGGACTTCCATTTTCACTTAGTTATTTTAATGGTTCCAAACTGCTTCATTGAAGCGCATAAGTAAACTATGCTACGGAAGATTTTGTTTGGTTTCTGACTAGGTTGAGTCATAACACGCATCATGAAGACAAAGAACTCTAAACTTGTTAAAAATTATATCTTTACAACAACTTTAACTAAAAGCATGATTTAACTTTAATGAAAATCACAACTATAGGGTTGCAATAATATATTGTTTATATTACTTGTATTATTACCTCATATAAAATTTAACGTAAAATTTTTATGATTTTTTTGTCTTGGTTATCTTCTTCCTCATTCAATAACCCCTGTCCTTCCTGCCATCTTCTTCTCTAGATCTTCTTGCTTTTAAAAAATTTTATAATACTTACTATTGCTTATCGCTTTTGATTTTTTTCTAAATTCTGATGAATTTATAATTTATACCTGAAGATAAAAGATTTTAAAATTACACCTTATTAACTTATAGAGAAAAACACAAGACGCAAGATAGGAATATCGTCAGGTATTAAAACTTTTTTACTTTTATCAAATATTAACCTTTGAAGTAATTTTAAATTTTTATCAAGTATTAAACTTTGGAGTAATTTCTAACTTTTATCAAATATTAACTTTTGAAGTAATTTCAAACTTTTATCAAACATTAACCTTTGAAGAAATTTCAAACTTTTATCAAATATTAAACTTTGAAGTTTTATGTCTATAGAAATGTTGCTAAAATAGAAAACAAAGAACTTCCCTTTGTTTTCTATTGTTTTTGATTACTGGCGGCTTTTATGGTTTGTTTATTTTATAAGTAAAAGCAACTATCATTATTTCACATTGCACATGAGATATGGTCATAAAAAAATCATTTTCTTTTAAATAGTAGACAAGCGGTCTGGGAACTAATTTGAAACAGAAAATTTTAATCTAATAAACTAAACTTTACTTTTAGTAATGTGCAAACAGTCATTCTATTTTGATTACGGACAGATCTGCATAACTGTCAAATCTGTTTATATAATTTTATTATATGCAAATTTTATTATAGACTCAAAATTTAAATAAGTTTTTAATCAGTTGCCTTAGTTTAAGTGTTGATTAGAGATGTTAAAAATAGTGATTTTACCGAAAATTGAAAATCAGCTAGGCTCTCAAATAAAGCACCAAACAGTTGAAAATTTGATGATACTTAGTTATTTTGTTATTATACTTAGTTTTAACACATCAAATTTTTTAACTATAGTTATGTATAAAATTTATACTCTGTAAACAATTCAAAAAGATTACAAAAATAACCAGCTCAGATATATCTTGCATTTCTGAGGTAATTTCAGAAGTTGCTTTAGATATATATATAAACAAGAAGGTAAAACAGCAATTTTAACCTTCTCACCTTCTAAAAAAGTTTTACTAAAGGGCGAAGAGTACAAAATCCAAAGGGCGAAGAGTACAAATTTAGAAAGCAAGGTCTTCTTTTATTTTTAAAAATAGTTTTTTTAGCATAATGCTAAAATTATAAATAAATTGTACAATAAATTAATAAAATGCTTTTTTTAATTTATTGTACACGGTTATGAAGTTTTAGTTTTTATCTTCATAATTTTTTATTTATTTATATTTTATGAAAGCTTTATATTCCATGAGTTTATGTTATATATTATTATGAAAAATTATGTTTAATCCTTATATATTATATATTTGTATTTTAATTATACATCTTATGAAGGCTTTATATTATAAGAGAGTTATACATAATTTATTTAACAATGTAATTGTAAAACTCACACAGGGGCAATGTGAAAAGATCGTGGTGATTTCAGTCTATAATTTTTTTTAAGCCCCTGCTTGTTTTTGCAAACCTTTTTTATGTTTTATATATATATATATATATATATATATATATATATATATATATATATATATATATCCTTTTTTTATTAATTGTTTTGGCATCTATTATATATGCATATACATACATAATAGATAAAGTTATATATAGGGTTTAGGAAACCCGGCCTTTTCGGGCCGACGAGTCCGAGTAGAGCCTATGAATATTTATCGGGTCCGGGTCTAATACGTCTTTTAGCCGGTTTCAAAGTCTAACTTAAATATAATTATATATTATTATACTTATGTTAAACTACCAATTAAATTTGACAGTACTTTAAAAAAATATATAATATAAGTTAAAATACTTATAAGTGTTTAATACACAATAATTTATTTAGTTTTTCTTCCAGTGTTGATGCTAATGCAGTAATTCAGTCGAATGTCCCTGTTCATAATGTGTATTTTGCGGTTCTTCATTTCTATCGAATAATTTCTTCAATAAATCTGTAAGTTTTTGTATTTTCTTTGGCATAGTACCATTTACAAGAGAATCTTATAGCCCTTCTAAATCTTGGTTTTAATGGCAATTTATTGGAGTTTTTATTGTCATTAATAGCTCTCTACTTAAATTATTATTAAATTCTTTTAACTTTCTTAACATAAAATCAATTTCTAATTGGATTGTTGCAAGATTAACATAGTTTCTGCTAAGAGCTTTAACAGTTAGTTTAATAGGCTTTAGCGTTTTGTCAACTCATGTTCAATATTAATGTTTTCTATTAAGTGCACACTTCCAATATCTTGAAAAGCTTCTTTAATGATGATTGAAAAAACAATGAAAATTGTTTTAAAATACATTAGTGAATAATATATTTTATATTTTAATTATATAATGTCTCTTTCCGGATTACGTTTACCCAACAATTTCTTGATTAACAATTTTGACCCAACGGTTAACTTAATTAAATTTTTTGACCGTGGGCCTCCCTAATAATAGTATAAATACAGCCCTATCTAAGCATGCTATTAGGTATCAGATACAGCTGCCTAGAAAAGTAGGGTAAAAAACAAAACAGACTGCTGCGTACAAAACAAGGCCAGGAGTTCAAATCGCGAGACTCGCCGAGTCTTAGACCGGGTATCGGGTCCTGGTATTTAGCCACAGAATCGCCAAGTCCGAGTCCGGGTACCCGGAACCGAAAAACCCTAGTTCTATATAAATTAATAAAATCCTTTTATTAGTTTAGTGTACATGCCACTTGAGCTGAATGTTGACTTTTTTTTTTTTTAGTTTCTTTAATAATTTGCAAATAAAGATAAAAAAAAAAAAAAACCTGAATCATTGTAAACGTAACTGAACAAAAGTATAGCTTTGGCAGAATATAGGCGTAAACTTCACATTTAAAATCCTTTAATATTTTAACATTTAATACTCGTAAAAGCGTTAGGGTGTATTCAGTTTTTTTATTTAAAATAGCAACTCAACAAGCTATATACACCCTTAGATTCATTTATATGCACCCTTAGATTTATTTATAGGCCTTGGTTCTTAAATGCTTTAATGGCTGTTAATAGTTAACAAAATAAAAAAAATAAAAAAATCGTTTTGAAACTTGAGAGTTTGTTGACTATACCAAATTTTAGTATAAAAGAAAACAATCAAATGTCTCTTATCTTTAAAACCAAATGTCCCTTCTTTGAAATAGTCCTGTCTTCTTTGAATTCTTTGAAACAGTCCTGTCATTAAAATAGTTATAAGACGTACTCTGATTGGTACATATTGACAACTAACGCTTTTTTAATTTTTTTTATTGTGACAGTTGTTGATTTCATTTTTTTTTTTTTAATTTTGTTGAATTTTAAATTGGTTTTATTTTTTATTTTATAACAACTTTAATTTAGATCAGTACAATAAAGGCATCATAGCATCAGGACCAGTGACTGATGGTAAATCGATTTTAAACTCCACTATTCGAGATGAAAAAATTGGTTTTCTAGAAAATGACGAAAAAAATGAAAACTTAACATAACAAAAATCAATAAATAAAAATGAACAACATATATATATATTTTTTTTATCGAAGTTTAAAAATAATTACAGTAAAAAGATATATAAATATTAAATATTAAAAAAAAAAAAGATATATAAATAGATATTTACATGGCCGTTGTTTAAAAGAGACAGTTTTATTACTAACCCCATAATTTATCTTGTATTTATATTTCACAACGTTGATATAAACTTGTAATTAATATTAACGTCGGAAAAAGATTTTTAGCCATTTTTTTTTAAGTTGTAAAGAGTTTTAAGATTTCTTAAGAAACTTTATTTAATTGGAAATAAAAACTATTTCATTCAACCCTTGTATTTGGGAATAATGAAGTATGCAAATTGATGGGTCATTAAAAAAATACTTAACTAATTAATGTAACCAATAATAACAATTTAAAAAAATGACCATTAAATAAAGAAAATTATTTTATTTATGCAATGATGTTGTCTTTAAGAGTTTTTGGAGGTCGAGTTGAACTGGGCCTTTTATATATCGTTTTGGAATACATGTTTAACAAAGCCAAAACTTGAATTTTAAATTTTTGCACTGATTCCATTTACTATTTTGACTTGCTGAAGTTTCGCTCAAAACATAACGGCACTTTTTACACTTGAATTGGTTTGCTGCTGCTTTTTACACTTGAATTGGTTTGCTGTTGTTGTCGTTGGAGTCGCTGTTTTGATTAAATTGCTGCTCTTCATCAAAGTAAAGTTTACGTTGTTTCCTAGTCTGCTTTGCTTCTTTTTTTGCTGTCAGCATCTGTCAATTTTTCGAATATTCTGTATTTATTGAGTCACTCCCCTTCACACCTTGGTACATCTAAATTTTTCTTTTTTGTTATGTCAACGTGTTGGATGCGAAACATTTTTTCAAGCTCGCCAATTGCATATGTTTTTTAACTTCTTTTTGAACTTCCTTTTGAATAGCCGGAATTGTATTGAAGATTGGCTGAAGATGAGCTCACTGTGGAGTTGACTTTAGTGCTGGTGCTATATGACGTATGCTAATGCTAGATTTTGTTATGTAGATTCAGAAAACAGTAGCTGAAATGGTCTAGCTAGTGTTGCTGGTGATGGTGGCAATGGCATAGATTTTGGTGGTTGATATGACAAAAGCTCAGGTTGAAATAAAAGTGTTTCAAGCGTATTAGCAATTTTTAATTTAGACAGATCGATTTTCTTGATGTTGAGCGGAAACAAATAAGTATTTTGAAATCCAGAGGCTATTTGCATGCATGTAAAAAAAAAAAAGTTGTATAGTTTTCTTAACTTAGTGTGGTTAGTACTTGCCCAAGCTATATTACCGTAAATTAAATAACAATATATAAAAGAAAATTTTTTAAGAACCTAAAATTTAAAAATTGAGATTTTTTTTTCAATCGAGTTTATATGCTGCTTCTATGATAGATTTTTATCAAAATTCACTTTTAGATAATAAATGGAAGATTGTCCTTTAATGTCAGTTTTATTAATTTGGAGATAAGTGGTAAAATAAGTGGTATTTCTTTTGATTTGTTTAGTTTGTCTAAGGGGGGAAATTTTGTTTTTTGAACATTCAAAGACAATTTGTTACATTTAAACCATTTATTTACTATATTTAGTTCTTCATTGGATACTTTAAAAAGTATTTTAATATTTTTTATGCGAATAAAAAAGATTAGAGCCATCTGCAAATAAAATAAAGTTTAATAAGTTTGATGTTGATTTAATAAGTTTGATGTTGATTGCAATTTAGAAAAACCCAATAAGACAGAATTAAGCCTCTAATTTGAGGGGTCTGATTCATCTCAGCCTTAAAAAATGGAGTGATTTGCGCAACTTTTAATTTATCCGGAACTATACCTGATTTAAAAGATAAACTGAAAATATGAAATAAGAATGGTTCAATTATATCACAGACTAATTTTTATTATATAAACACTAACTTTAGTTTGCACTTTTGTTAACTTTTAGACTGCAGATTGCAACTCAATTATATCTAGCTTGGATATTTTAATTTTTTTTATTAGAAGTTGTTATATAGGAATTAAAATGTTAGTGAAGTTGGAGGAATATTTCGTGCCGAATTGGAGCTAAGATTAACAAAAAAGCTATTTAATTTTTCAGCTATTAACACTTTATTACAAATAAAATTACCGTCAATTAAAAGTTTCTGTGGCGAAACGTTATTTTTGTATTTATCTTGACCAATTATTTCTTCAATTGCATTCCATATTTGCTGTGAATTGTTTTTAGAATTTTTTATTAGTTTAGAATAATTTTTTTTTTTTTTTTGAGTAGTTTTTGATTTTTTTAAAAAAAAAATTTTTAGTTTTTAAATTTAGTTTTATTGGAAGAGGTTTTATTTTTTGAAAACTTGTATTTTTTAGTCGACTATTTTAGTAGACCTTTTGTTATCCATGACGATAAAAGTGATTATGAATTTATAGAAAACTTTTTTAGATAAAATGCATAATTTTATTGTTTACAAAATTGCGATAGAAAAAGTTTATGAGCAATGTTAGCATCGTGAGATTAAAGAACCAGCTTCTAATCAACGCAGTTGATCAGGAGGTTGCGAATTTGTTGTGTGGAGTTTTCATTGGTCTGTCGTTTAAATATCAATGTTATGAAGGCGTATAATTAGGTATTATGCTGTTTGTAATAAGAAATATTGAAAAATGATCAAATTAACTTTTATTATACCTGTACTAACGTAGTTATTAAAGAAAATTATTAGCAATTATGTTATCAAGTAGAGTAGAAAACCTTTTGTGATCCTTGTAGGTTTGTTTATTGTTGGAATGAAATTATTTTGTGAAATTATATTTAAAAAACATTTAACACTATTATTTAACGCATATGCGTTAAATAATAGTGACCTGAAATTAATCTTTAAAGATTAATATTCAGGTCACCGACAAAGTTTCACCGACAAAGTTTCACCGACAAAGTTTCACCGACAAAGTTCCCATTCTTTCATTGAGGTGATGTGACATACTCAATTTTAATTGAAAGCAATGCTTCCCCGTGAAGCTTGACCTTTAAAAGTTTTAAAAATGAATTAGTATCACTAATATAATTTGAATATATCAAATTTTGTTTTTGAACTAAGGAACAAAATAATGGCAACTGATCTAGAAAGAGTAGGTAGGTAAAGAACAAAATTAAGGCGACTGATCCATCATAGTCCACTACATCAAAAGATTTATGATGAATACTTTGGCAAAACATTGTTGGTTACTAGACTGTCCAACCTTTACAAAATTTAGACACAACATAATAGTACTCACAATAATAATAACAAAAAATTGTTTCATAAAAAACTAATACGAACGAAGATATACAATGTTTTTGTTGTTGTTTTATTTTGTATATTATTTGGTTTAAAATTTTATCTTGACTTTTTAACATTTTATCTTGGTTTTTAAATATTTTTGCATAGAGGTGTATTATTATTTCACTACAGACATTGTATTTTTATTAAAAGTTAACCATATATTGTAAAGGGCTTCATGACAAGATCCTCATGATCTTCTAGAAGTCCTGTCGTTACTAATGTAAAAAATTGTAAAATATATTTAGTTATTGTAATATTAAACGGCAAAAATAAAAAAAAAATAAAAAAAAATAAATAAATAAATACAACAAATATATAACCAAAATAAAAAAATTTTAAAAAACCAAAAAATTGATAAACAAAAAACTTAAAAAACCAAAAAATAAAAAAACAAAAACAAAAAATATGGATATAACAATGTAAGGCCTCAGAATGGAAAAAGAACATTAATGCTAATGTGTAAACATAATTAATGTAGTGATAAAGTAATTAACATCTCCTCGTAGTCGCGTCTATTATTACAGGCGTTTCGATGAGGATCAGCACTTATAACTAGTTTAACCCGTCAGACAAACGTCATCGCCACTTGTGCTTTACCCCGCGACTTACGCCTTATCCATACTGCAGTAAAAAAGGACTCACAACAAATAGCCAAAACCCAACCAACCCTAAATTTGTAAAACACTAATGTTTTTTTAATGATATGATATGAAAAGTGTTGATAAACTTTAAGAAATAAATAAAAATAACTAAATAAATCACTTACCACTTTGAATAATGATCTTTAAAAATTTGCGACCTCCTCAATTTCAGGGCCTTCAAATTTTCGTATATTATAGTCATTCATATATATGTTATAATTTGAACGCTAAAAGATTTTTATGAAGCTTAAAATTTATCAATGAATATAAATTTATTTAAGAATAGTATATTAACTCTTTTATTAATTAGTTGCTTACGAGTTTGGGGCAGTTGTAGCAAAAACTTTAGGTTTTTTTTTATCCTAGGCTCCAGTCATCGAAATTTTTTGTTAAGCATCCTTATTTGACATAAGTATATATTATAAATTTAAGTATTTAGAGTTTGCTCCATGTCTCGAAGTTATCTCAAAAAAATATCAAGTCAAAAAAATGCTGGATCCGCCTTTGTATATTAATAATTGGCTTTGTATATAAATAATTGGCTGCCAAATTACATGATATCGATCGCTCAATTTTTATCTTTTTTTTATTTTTATCGATAAAGTAATGAATTAAAAAACGAATTGTGTTATGGACTCATCATATTATATGTTGATCCTAACCCTAACACAAAATAATAGTGCTCCTAATGTTATAAATTCACGATAGCACAGAGAATTTTTTGTCGGGTTTTGTAAATCAAAAAGTCATTGTTATATTTTAAATCAGCGTTTTTAAATTCTTCCGCGATATATAAGCAATAAAAAAGCACGTCACACGCACATTAGCAATCATTAAAAATAATATCGTAATAGTACAATCTGTTTCATGTTCTACTGCCTTGTAGGATACGCTTATTTAGGCAAAAGCTAGGAGGTGCTAACTCTCACTTAATACACCCCCTGCCTTGGGACTCTTGGATGAATAAAGGTTAGAGATAGTGTCTCAATAAAAACGCTCAACTTAGGCAGATGTTAAACGTATACGGCTACTGTCTTGTACAAGGCCTCCTAGGCAAAGGCTTAAGGGGTAAACAGATTCTATCTGTTGACCAGCTTCGGCAAAATCCATTACAAACTTAGTAACTGTCAGGGTTGCATCGCTCTTGCTCGCCATATTTTTACTCCAGATTCTATTTTGTATCTCTATAAATCTCAAATCCGTCCTTGTATGGAATACATATCTGGAATGGATCTTCGAAAGATTCCCTTTATCTTTTA